TCTGAAAAAAAATTAAAGATTAGAAACTCCATTGTTTAGTCCCTTCACAAAAGCCCTCACACTCAAATCCTCATCCAGTTCAGGCCAATGAATCCCATATTTATCCGAACTAATCCTAAAATTCCTCAATTGTTTCAAACTTACCCCTCTTGTGCGAGGATATCAATCAGTAGGGATACTGACTTTACGACCATCCTCTAAAAAGGCAGTAATCTCTTCCTTAGAGACTTCTACTTTCATTATTAGAGGATAGGCTTCTGGGACTGCGGAAGCAAAAACTTCCTCCTTAGACATAATTACTGGATTACTTCTTAATTTTACCTGTTTTCTTAAATTCATATCAATTATCTAAAAATGTTTTCTGTTTGCGAGCAATTATTTTTAAAGCCTCAGTTCTTTTATGACGAGGCATGGCTCTTATTCAAGCCACGGATAAATCTTTTTTTAATCAGACTTTTAGAGTGCCACCTTCTTTATCGACATGAACATGAGGAGGTTCATCTAGGTCGGAAGAGTAAAAAAGAAATCTCAAGCCTGATTCTTCGTGGAGGGAGGGCATTTTTATATTTAATATTTTAACCATTATGCTCCCTCAACTCCAATCTTTATTAGAAAAACTCAAGTCCAACCCTAAGTGACTCATCTTGAGCCAAAATCAACCCCTCTTAAGAGATGCCCTAGAGAAATTCATGTTAGATGAATCCTCTCTAACTTCCCCTCTCAGTAATGCTGAACATTTTTGACCCACCACTTGTCACCTCCAAAATTTAGAAAGGGAAATAAGAGATCTAACTGAAAGAGGTGAAGCAGTTAGCCATCTACAAGAACGATTAGAGGATTTAAAAAAACAAATAGAGGAAGAAAAAATTGCTTGAGAGAAACAAATTATTCATCATCAGCAGAATGTAGATAAGTGTAAAAGGGTTTTGGAATGGTTACCTGCTACTAGTGAGCCTGTGTCGGAAGAGGTTATTAAGGAGGATAGTGAATTTTTTACTAATTTACTAAGTATTTTAGAGGAGGTGATAAAGAAATTGGAAGAACAGGAACAATTAGAAGTAGAATTACAGGAAGTTAAAATGGAGAAAGAAAGTTTAGAAACTCAACTCCAACAACAAGAATCCACCTTAAACCAATTAAAAGAAAAATTAGAGCGAGAAACTAATGAACTAGCCTG